ACCCCACATAGGACAAGTGTTGTGAATTTTTCCCACATGCCACCAACATCCATCAGGTAATAGGCTCCTGGTGAGCCCATTTTGCAGGTCCTGCAGGGTCACACACTACTGAATCCTTAGGTGAACATCATGTGGCTCTAACTCAGACACCCTCTCCTCCTCCTGCGTCTTCTCAGCATTTGACACTCACAAGGTGTTTATATGTTTCATATGCAAATGCATCATGGCACACCAGAATGGATTAATGACCCATCATCAAACAAATGCCACCCACACTTGAATGCTGCCCAGTTTCTCATGCTAAAGGTACACACAGGTTTTGCATTCCCTTTCTTTCATTTCTTTTTTGTTTTGTTTTGCTTTGTTTTTCATGTTCCACCTTTAGCTCTCCATGGGGCCGTGCACATTCTCCTACTCTTGGAGCTTGTTCTTGAAATGGATTTAATTCCTCCTCTGGCCGCCCTCAGGGTTTTCGCTTTCCTTATCCTCTCTGACGCCTGGATTTCTAGCTTATTCACTGTCTCAGATTCCAAATAGTCCCTCTTCTAGCAGGTCCCCTTCCTGCAGACCTTTCTATAATTGAGCGTGTTGTTCTCCTCTGGCTGTCTTCACTTCCGAGAATGGCCTCGTCCTCCCTATGCCCTTCCCTCCCCTGTGGCCCTTGGACAGCCGTTGTTTTCTCTGGGGCAGACCCAGACTGTCGCCTTTCCTCAGCAGGGGGTGTCTTGTCCCCGCAGTCTTTTTCCTGTGCTTTTTGTTGAGCTCTGGTTGCATTCTTGGTTTCCCACTTCCCCTTCCTCTCTTATCTCTGTCTGAAATCCATCATGCTTGGCTCACGAGATTGGTAGTTTTGGATTTTGCAAAAAATTGGATTGTCTTAAAATAGACGGTACTTGAACACTCTGCACACCTCCCCGATAGAACAGCAGCTAGCGATTACCTAGGTTTCGATACACTGTAGGTCACATCCCGCCCTCTGAATTGCAACTCCACACAGGCTAGCTCATTGCCCTTGCCCACCAAATGTGTGCCCTAGGTTCTTTCAATACCAGCGCCAGAAAGAGCTGATACATTTACTTATTGTTCTGGAGTTTAAAATTTCATACCCAAACATTAATTTGCTCTATAAGTTCACTCTATGATCCTTGCTGTTTCCACTTCCTTGGCCCTGCCCCACTCATTCGCCTGCGACTGCTCAGCTAGAGCTGCCAAGGGTTGCCTGAAACATCAACCCAATGACCTTGCCCATTCTCCTTGTCCCATTCTCCCAGTCTTCTCAGCACGGTCCACCACTGTTCATCCTTTCCTTTGGCAATCACTGAGCTCTTCTCTCTACCAGGCACTGCTCTAAGTACTTAGCACAGGCTAATAAAGGTCTCTGCCCTTGTGAAGGTCATATTTCATTTGACTGTGGGGGCAGACATCGAACAACATAAATAACGAATTACTGTTATACAGACAAATTAGTATGTACATTGTCTTGTATATAAACGGTTCTAGAGAGAAAAAGGAAAGGTGGAGCAGGGTAAGAAGGTAAGGGAGGTTTTGGTGTTCAGAGTGATCAGGTAGACATCCCTGAGGAGGGGACAAAGAAGCAGAGACTTGAACGAGGTGAGGTGGAAAGCCATGTGGATATCTGGGGGGGATGGTCCAGGCAGAGAGGGTAGCCAGTGCTGAGGCCCTAAGGTGGGGTGTGTCTGCCTGTCCAAGGAACGCAAGGAGGCCAGCGTGCTGAGAGGAGAGAGTCGAGAGGAGGGTCGAAGGAGATGAAGTCAGACAGCTAATGGACCTCAGGCCACCTCGCGCCCGTAAGCCCAGTCGACCACACTCCCCCTGAGCCTCCATACGTGCACTGCGTTGCTTCGCTTTTCAGTGCTTCCTTTCCTCCTCCTCCAGGGGCCTTTTCCTCAGCTCTCCTCAGAGCCGGGTTCTCCAGATGCTCTTTTCTCATCTCCCTCTGCTCCCTCGCCAGCTGTCCCTTTTTGATCACATCTACATCCTTGGCTTTAGCTATATGACTAACTCCCAAAACTTCCTCCAGGTAACACCTACAGCCAAGGTACTGTTTCTACCTTGGTGTCTTACCAGCATCTCATACTCAATATGCAATACAGCAGCTTCCTCTCCAGCCAGTATTTCCTGTTGCCTTTAATGAAACTCCATTTCTTTGGCCATTGTATTTAAAAATCTCAGTTACCATCCTCCTCCTTATCTATTCAGTGTCTCAGGACTCTTAAATCTAGCTCCAAAAAAGGAAACTTCATGTGGGATCATGTGTCCAAGACAGCCACAATTCTGACGAGAGTGTGCCAAGTCACTTTTAGACTTCTATATGATCATACACACCTACTAAATCTCTGTCTGGTTCCCAATAAGAGTTTGTGATGAGTCTAACAAACCAGGAATCACATTTGTTTTATCCTAGAATCATTGAAAGTTGATAATAAAGGGCAATTCCAAAGAGCTAGACAAGGCCGCCTTGGTTTTGTAAACACTGAGAGTCATAGGATGCTGGTGGCAAGCTGGTCTTCTGGTGCCAGGACGTTCACATCCTGCTCGCCGCTGGGTCTCCCCTGACGCTTGTTTATCGTCACTGAGGCTGCTTTGCAGCTCCTGCCTGGCGCTATAATTCAGCAGTTTATCACAGACCCCCTCAGAAAAGAATGCAAGGAATGAGTGAAAACCCTGGAAGCAACCCATCTACCCCGCACCCCGTTGAAAGATTGCACAGCTTCCAAGCCTGCATCGCTCACCACCAGTCTCCACTGGCACCGCTCAGCTTTTAAATGAGAAGCCATCATCTACCCCGATTTCCACCCTGAGCCACAGGGCACCAGCAGCATGATTCACTTCTTTCCAGGCATTGTTATTTTCCATGGCGCTTCTTTTGCAAGAACAAAATGAAAGGTCACGCCCTGTCCTGCCTGCCCCTGGCGTCCTCTCTCTCTCCCTCCTTCATTCCCTCCCTCTGCGGTCTCTCCTGAGAAGCCATTACACACCCAGCCTTTAGACAGACAGGGACACAGTTGAAACCCAGCTGCTGCCTCTTGACAAGTGCATGCCATGCCTCCCGTTTGGGCGCCGCCCTTCTTGGAACACACACTGCATTCTCCCTTGCTGTTTGTGTGACTGTCCCCTCTTCTTCCTTTGGGGAGGAGAAGGCATCCTCTAGGGAGGGGCTGTGCTCCCTGCATGAGGCACAAGCTCTGGCTCTGTTGGCAAAGATTCACAAGTGGCATCGGAACAAGATGGTGTCAGCAGCAGGGTCCCTGTGTGGGGCAGGTGAGGGCAGACATGGCAAGACGGCCCTGAGGCATATCAGACAAGTGATGGGTTCACTTGCAGAGACTGGCCACTCAGCAGACATGCTTGAGGTGTTTCTGTAGGTCTTAACATTGGGGTTTAGGAGGTAGAGAAGTCTGATGACGGTTCAGAGACCTAATGGAGAAGGAAAGGAGTGGGAGTGAGATTGAGAAGGGAGGAGAGAAGGGGGTTTGGGCAGAAATAAGGCCAGGGGGGAGGGGAGAGGGGGACGGGTTTCCCTTCCCGGAGCTCCTGGCCACCACACAAAGGACCTCTGGACCTCATAGAGGCTTTCCACAGCTCCCTGGCCTGTCTAACCTCAGTCTAACAGTAAGACCAGGAACCAGTGGTGTTACTGATGTTGCTAACACACCCTTAAAGTACTTAGGCCCACCCCACTCTTCACACGGATATGTGAACTGGGGTCAGTGGGTTGGAAACTCTTAGGAGGATTTTGAATTCTAGGGCCTTGGACTAACTGTGTCTGCTTTGCTTCCACTCTTTACGTGCTCCTCTCACACCAATGTCTGAGGCAGGAGAAGCTGCCGCAAAACTGATGTGACTCCCAGCTCAGGGAATTCCCTAGAAGCCTCATAGTCTCAACTCTGAGCCTTATCCATCACACATCAGGTCCACTCAGACCCTCTGCTTTTGTAGGCTTCACAGTTGGTGTCCCCTTCCTGTGCTGTCCCACTTGGAGTTGGTCAATGGGTTCTGAATGGGTGTCACTGGTCTGCCATCCCCATAGAAAACTGACTCACAAATTCTCTCCAGACCCCATTCTCTGCTCTCAAGAAGAAGAGAAGCCCAAGACACCAAGCGCCAGGCAGGGAGTGTGCACAGCGAGTAGGTCCTCTCAGCATAATTGGATCTGGTAACTGGCTGTGAGGCAGGAAAACACCTGAGGGGAAGGGAAAGCTTACACATAAAACAAAAACTTGTCTAGCTTTGGTGGGTATACATTTCACCGTGGCAAAAAACAGCTTGACCACACAGCTGAAACATCCCTCACTGACATTATGAAACTGATTGAAATTAGAAGAACATTGACCAATCTGATTAGCCAAGACATAGTTAACAGCTTCAATGAAAAAACATTCAATTCCAATGAACAACAAATGTAAGTTTCATTATAGACTTCGTTAAACAACTATCTAGTCAATTTGGCCAACACATTCAATTTATTATGCATTTGGGCACGTTCTGGAAAGGAACGTTTGGTGCCTCAGTTCACCATCTCGGCCAAGGAGTATCCCGGACTGTTTAGCTCATGTCCTTGACGAGCTAGCCTTTTATTTGCTCCCATCTTATGAAGAAGAATAATAGGAAGAGTACACAGGGAGAAGTTTCTGGAAATGATTTCAAACTTTGACAGAATTTCCTGAGCTGTCCTCTGGTTCTCTGGTAAGCTGGACTGGGGAGTCAAGTACACAGATGTGCTTACGAGGCTAACAGTGCCAAGTGCCTCCGGGGCCTGGGAGGTCAAAGTATGGGTGCACCCAACTCCCACAGAGCTGAGTCTGAGCTCACAGCCCAGATGGTTCCAATAAAATCCTCCTTTCACAGAAGAGAAAACCATTTTAAAACAGCCCTCCTATGTACAGTATTATCACAGACAAGCATCAAGAATCAAGTCTGAGTCACCCATTTAAATGCAAAGTACTATTTTTAGTTGACAGTGTCAGCTGTTAGTTGATACTGTCCTGATGTCTGGGCCTCTCGGCCAGTGTTCCAGCGATTTGCTGATCATTACTGGACTGGGTGAGACACGACTTATTAACAAGTTTCAGTTTGAGGCTGTGAATTGGCGGCATAATGGTCTTGCCCCATCTCTGTCCCACGATCAAAGTTCGGGAGCTGAGAAGCTGTGACCAAACATGGCTCCCGCCCACGTCTTTCTCATCTCTGCTCTTTCAGAAATAGGCAGCGTTTCATCAAAGAGCTTTCTTAGTTGATGCCACTATGTAAGTATAATTTGGAAAAAGTAGCATTTTTAAAACCAAGACATGTTTAAAAGGGGCTTTTGTTAAAAATACATAAAGCTGGATTTCCCCTGGTGATGTGTTTATATTCACGGATCACCCAGGCTTTCTGTGGCCTGGGCTTCTTACACATTCCCAGAAATTCAGCAAAATCTTCTGAGAGGAAGCCTCTGGAAAAGGCTTGCTTCTGTTTTTAGCATCTCATTTGTCCTCAGGCTCTTCAGCAAGATCCTGGAACCTGGGGGGGGCCGAAGAGATGACCAGAGAGAGGTCAGGGTCCAGGACTCCCCGGGGCTGCAGGGTGGGTGGTGGGTCTCTCAGCCTTTCTCCTCGTGCTTTGGTTTATTGTCTTGGGCTGGCTGCCCCTTATGCATCCACCATGTTTGTTTGTTTGTTTATTTGGTGGATAGAACCTTTCTCATGTTTCTAGATCCGGGCATAACATACCTGATGCCTGCCAAGAAATGATTTTCACCCCAGGCTGACCAGTCAGGGCAGTAACTACAGTCTGGGAACCAGAGAAATTCAAATTCAACTGCAAGTCTGAAGCAATTAAATTTATCTTAATAAGTGTTCACAATAAGTGGAAAATGTGAAGGCCAGTTCTCCATGACTTAGTAAATTCAAAATACAGGCAAAAACAATCAAATCTAGTTTTTACCCAAATGTGTCTGACGATTGCTTCAGGCTTTCCATTTTATTGTGAGTTATTCAAATGTGTTACCAAATGCAAAAGCTGACGGGCCTCTTGGTGTTTCATTACCATCAAACATTTGAGCTACTGGGAAAGCAACTTAGCAATGTGTGTCAAAAGGCATAAAAACACGCATATCTTTGTGCAAGTGATTCCATTTCTTGAAATGGTTTGAAATGTATCCTCAGGAAACAAACGACTATTGTACACAAAAATTTAGATAACTGACAATTATCTTGAAGCAGACCACATGTCCAACAAGAAATTTAGAATAAGCGATGACGAATCCATGTTACAGAATACTATGCAGCCATTTAAAAGCTATACCTTTGAAGAACAATAATGGCAAATATTTCATATCACAAAAAGAAAAGAAAGGGTGTGGAGGAAGAGACACACAGAAACAGAGGATTACGGGGAGGGGTGAGGCTGGAAGATGGTAGTTGAGGAGAACAGAATGCGAACAGCTATACTTTTGGTCTGTGGATCGCAGGGCCAAGGCGTGGACTATGTTGCAATGAGTGGGTACAGGCTCTTCTAAGGACTCGCTCGCTTGCCCGCTTGCTCAGTTGTTTGGCATGGTAAGCTATTCCAGAGAACTCTAGATCCCTGACAAGCAGGTGGGTGAAATTATGAGCAGATGGAGACCTTTTGCTCAGACCAGGGAAATGTCTCTCTTCTTAGCAGCTGCCTTACAGGGTATTCTTTTTTTTTTTTTTTTTTAATTGGGGAACAGTGCATTTTTTTCAGGACCCATCAGTTCCAAGTCAAGGAGATGTTTCAATCTAGTTGTGGAGGGCGCATCTCAGTGGCCCATGTGGGGATCAAACCGGCAACCTTGGTGTTATGAGCACTGCGCTCCAACCACCTGAGCTAACCGGCCGCCCCCAGCATATTCTTAACATGCTTGGTCACACTCTTCTTCAATTAAAAAATCATATGAATGAAGATTCCCTTATCTCAGAGATGTCTTGTAACGACAACAATCTACCTCTTCTTCCCTTCCCAGGCTCACTTCTTACAGGAATAGACTCAAAACGTCAACTTCCTTATAATCAGTTCTCACTTTTCAGCACATTGAAATCAGTCCTGGACTCCCACCACATCCCTGAAATGTGTCAAAGGTCACCACATGGCTTCCTAGTTGCTGAATCCAATAGACTCCTTCATGTTCTCATCTACTTGGACCCAACCCAGCAGGTAGCCATTCCTTGTTGAGTTTTCTCTAAAACTCTTCAAAGGCATCATTCTCACTTGATTATCCTTCTGTTCTTACCATTCCTTGTCTCTTTTACTCGCACCTCCTACTAGTCCTGGCCATTCTCACTGACCTTCTAAAAAATGTGTCTTTATCTTTCCAGATTCGGCTCCCAGTTCAATTCCACTGCGGAGTTTTTGTTCACTCACCCACTGCCTCTTCAGAGGTGGATTTACATGAAGGTTAATAAAACTTGAGCATCCGGACACTTCATTTGCTAAGGCCCGTTCCAAGGCCCTGGGGATCACATGTTCATGAGGTCATAGATCTTTGTAGAACTTGAAGATGTAATCTGTTTTAACTGCAGTAAGTGCTCTGTTGCTTTCCACCCTGTCCCCACCCCACTTGGCACATGTCTCTTCACACCGGGTAGCTTGAACTGGCCAAGGGCATTTGCGGGATCCAGTTCAGGGTGAGTTGAGTTAGACATTTATTTAGATTTCATCAGATGCATTTATGTGGTTCATAAACACTTCCATGTATAGCTAAGTGACACTAGCTGTCCTGATATAGGGGTGGTTTCCAGGAACAGTCTTGCTGCCCGTGGGGCTGTCTCAGACATTGCACACGAACACTCACCAGCAGGGAGGCCTGAGGCTGCATCATAATGAGAACAGCTTGTCATCTGGGTGCTGGGCCGATAAGGACATTTAGGGGAAACAGGTGCTTAGATGTAGTGACCTTTCTTCTAATCTTTAAATATGTAAAATTGTAAAAGAGTGATTTAGCCTTTAATCACATTTAGTCAAATTGATCAATAATAAAAAAGTTCAATGAACTATGCTTGAGGAGAGACTGAATTGCATTTCAGTCTATGAAAAATAATTATAAAAAAATCATTGTCATTTGAAGAGGTGATCAAAAAGTATACAGTCAAAATATAAAGGGAAAAGGTTATAGAAGTTTGTTATGCAGCTAGTTAAGAAAAATTCGATGTTGCGTACTTTCCCCCTGGATTTTGTGATACTTGTGGCATTCATCAGATTTTTAAAAATTGGAATTTGTTGTCATTTCTTTTCTCGCTGTAAATAACATTTCTCTTTCAGACGTAAGTTTACATGTGTAATTTAGTATTTTTTTCCCTTAAAGAAAGCCCTGCAAATCACCGTAACTTCAGGCTCCACAAGCCTGGCTGCTCCTGGCCTCTCTTGCAGATCTGAGTAGCAGGCAGGTCTTCATCTTGGAGCTCCATTGCTTAGCCCAGGCCCAAATGCCTACGTCAGGCTTGATAAATGTTTGTTGAAAAACACTTCACCCCCAAATCTTATGATGTTACAGTCAGGGTTTACTTTATCTTACTTGGAGGGTGAGAACTAAGAGCATCCAGAAAACCACTCCTAGTTCAGGTGGTTGCAGTCAGCTTTTGTGCTCTCTTACTCATATAGTGCTTCTAAATACCGTGTTTCAATGAATCTTTACAATGTCCCCACCCCTAACAAGAGGGGGACAGAACAAAGGAGAAAAATGCAGGACTTCCTCTAATTGTGATAGGTGACTGAGAATATACAGTACACAAAATAAGAAGAAATTAAAGAAAAATAATGATAAATATCTGCCTTGAAACACTGAGCTCCCCAAATTCCCTTTTCTGCAGACTACCCAGCTCTGAGGAGCAGAGTCAGGGCTTAAACTCACCTTTAAACATCAACTCCTTTACTTTGTTACTTTCCTTTGTCTTGGAGGCCTTGCTATTTCAGGGAACTCTACCCGGAGGCCTAAATCAGAGGTATTCAGCCAGCTGCTGAATCTGCAGAGCACACGCCCAAGTCTGGCTTTTTCCACATTCAGTCTCCTTCTTTCCCCTGTTCTAGATTCTCTCTTCTGTGGAACTCCAATACACCCTCCTTAGTCTCAGTCTAATATTGATCCCTTTCTGTACCATTGGCACCTAATTTGCTCCTCTTCCAGGTTTTATGGTCAGTACTCTAAGACCTCACCTCACCCTTGACCTCTGCTCTAGCTCCAGTTCTTTCTTTCTCTGATGACTAGTGTTTTCCCTTATAGATTTTCATAACCATGGAGACGTGGTCCTTTTATTTTATCCTTTGTAGGTGTTCATCTGTCATCTTCATCATCAGACCCTTTACCCCGGCACCCCCTCTCTATAGAGATTATAAGCAAATTTCCTGAATATAATTGACATTTCTCTGACATATAGCTCTTGTGCTTTAATCCAGTTTACCCCTCATCCTCGAATCCTGTCAGTCTCTTATAAGTAAATATAAAACTATCATCCCCAATCCCATGTCTACAGACCACTCATGAACTATATATATATGGAGAGAGAGAGAGAGAGAGAGAGAGAGAGAGAGAGAGAGAGAAGGAGGGAGGGAGAGAGTGGAAGCCAAGTCAGGATTCATGAATCAAAGAGAAGGCCCAGATAACCCAGTTTAGGGAGTCAATAAAAGTAAATGTAAGATAATCAATATAAACGAAAGAAAGAGGAAGGCATGGAGACACTAGCCACGAAGAAGACAGAACACTCATTCAATGTTTTAGATAAAATAAAAAAGAAGATTTGGAAAACAAAGTTGAGAGCGGACTTCTAGAGGAAATGGAAATATAAGTCTAAAGCTTTGACGCATAGGACAGATATTTGAAACAAGAGGCAAAATAAAGAAAATGTAAAATTTTATGTTGCAGTGGCAAGAAAAACATCCCCCTCTGTCTGAGAAGAATGATCAACTAAACTGAAGGTGCAACTCCTGGGCCTTAAGGGTCCATACTGAACAGAGAAGAAGAAGAAACCGAATCACCAAGGTGACGGGTGCTGTAGGCTGATTACATTTCTAGCTTGTGAGAAAATAAAGAACTGCATAGCTCGTCTTTATGTGCTGCATTTTGAAATGTGATATTTAAAAGAATAATAGTTAGATTAAAATAGAAGTCCATTAGCACAAGAAATGTAGAAGGTGAAAAGGAGACACAATAAACTCATTTATATGGGAACTTTTTGGAGGTAGATTCAGAGTATATTCAAGTTTGAAGCTATAGGGACAATATATTTCAAAGGTAATAAGAATATTTGCTTCTTGTTTTTGAATAAATTTGGTTTGACTCCAAAAACCAGTTACTTATAATGATAGGTTTTTCAAAATTATTAATTAAAAACCAATTAACAATAGTCTCGGGCCGGCTGAGTGGCGCATTGGTTAAGAGATGGCTTGGGACGCCAGCTCTGAGCAGCAGGGCCCCGGTTCAGATCCCATATATGAGGGCCAGCATGCTGCGCCCTCTACAGCTAAGATGCTGAACAACAGCTCGACCTGGAGCTGGGCTGCTGTGAGTCGCTGTCTGTGGGGCTGGCCGGCAGCTGGCGTGCGCTTTCCTGAGCTGCTGTGATCCGCTGCGAGTGGCTGTCCAATGGCTGGCGAGTGACCGCTTCAGCCGGAAAGCGCGCAATGATAATACCAACATGGGCCAGTGAAGCGACATCCTCCACAACTAGACTGAAGAACAAAAGCACAGCAACTTGTCTGTTCCCCTCCCCCAACCCCCCAATTAAAAAAATCTTTAAAAAAAAAAGTCTCAACCTGGATTTCTTTTCAGTGTTTCTCAAAAGGGAAGTATAACAAAGTTGAGTTCTACCTTTCCAGAGGGTCTGACCTCCCTGCGCCACCACACAGAAAGAAGAACAGGTTTTTTTCTACTGAGGTTGGCGTGAATTTGTGTTCAGAACATAGAACATTCCAAGGGATTGTCAGGCCATGAGAAGAGGGTAGGTAGAAAATGAAAACCTGCGTGATCTGATCTTGGCCAAATTTGGAGGATGGCATTTTGTACATATGGAGACGGCTTCTCTGCGTTAACATTAGAAAACGTCCCGTCCTTGATATACAGAACAACATATACATTTTAGACAAATGAAGGCTTTCATTTGGGAAACGAGTCCCCAGGAGTTTACTCCTCTAAAGCCATGTGAACCTTGGAGTAGAAAAAGGCCAGCAACAATATCCATATTGTTCTGTGTCCCCTTTAGTGCCCCCCACTAGGACCACAGGATTGTCAGGGACTGGATGCCATGTGCTAACCAAACATAGTGACCAGCACTGCTTCCTGTCAACTCATGAGAAAGTGCCTGGAAATCATCTGAGCAGCAGATGATTTAGCAAGAAGAAGAAATAGCAAGAAGAGTCCAACAAAAGGTACATTTCTTTCTGTTACATCCTAAATCACACTGGATCCCCAGAAAGGTCCCCATGTTCAACATTTTTGGTTGTTACAAAGAAACATACCCTCATTCTCTTGTACCCCCATGCCCCATTCTTATGTATGTGTGGTACTCCCAACTTTGGCATAATTCCTTGGCAGGGAAAAGACAGGTTGGATGATTTCTGAAGCCTTTTCCCAGAAGGAGATCTGATCTTAAAAAAAAAAGAGTTGTGTTTCCTGGGGATTCACTGAATAGCCCCACTGTTTTCTCAGGAAGCTGTTTATGTGTTCACTTGGTGCTTAACCAAACACACCCCCAAATAACTCAAGCAAAGAGGCACTGTAAAAAGTTCACATTTGAATTGTTTTGGACAATTTTCTGGCAAAAAGTGAAGTGTTCCAAGTTAGGGGCTGTTTCTCACACAAGAAGAGTAGGCAACCCTTGGCTGACCAGTCTTTCAGTAAGTTCAGCTCCCACTTTTTAACTGCAGTGAAGGGTATCACAGACAGGGACCAAATTCCAGCTGAGTGCTATGATCAGGGCACCTTGACCTATGAGGGTGAGTCAGCACATGTCTCAAGGGGAACTCACGCATCTTGGGAATCATTGCATTAAAGAATTGGAGCCAGATTTCTTGAATCAAAGGGAGATGTCTCATATTCTAAGAAGATAAACTAGTTTGGATAGGCTCACAAAATTGAGATTATTACAATTCAGTGTGTCAGTGAAACTTCATTTCTATGGGCAACAGTCAAGACTGAGATCACGGTGGCGTTTATAAGCCATAAAATTCTTTCACACCCCTACTATGAAAAGACAGGTCTATGTCTCCTCTCCATAAAGATGGGCTCCATGCCTGCTTGACTAATAGAATTCAGAGGAAGGGGCGCTGTGCTAGTTTTCATACCCAGGCCTTAAAGAGCCAACCACCATGCTGTAAGGAAGCCCAAGCAGCCCGTGACAAGCTCCACGTGACAGGAACCAAGGACCCTGGTGCACGACCTCGGCTAAACTCCCAGCTAATCGGTAGCACCAACTTGTCAGCCACAGGAATGTACTATCATGCAAGTGGGCCCACCAGCCCCCAGACAACCTGCTCCAGCTGGCCCCACTGTCGCAGGTGAGTAGTCCCTGCTGAGCCCTGACAAAATTGCCAATTTATGATCAAAATAAATTATTGTTGTTTTGAATGGCTACATTTTAGAGTGGATTATTATGTAGCAGCATATAAATGATACAGACAACTTGTCACAGGATATATTTGGACAATCTGAGAATTAAAAGTGATTTTTTTTCTTAATCCAGTTTTGATTTTGAAATCTAAAAAAGCAGATTCAGTTTAAGAGAGGACATACTTTGCAGGAAATATAAACTTGATGTTAGTGTTTTGCAATAAGCTCTGTGAAATCAATATCCCACATGTTTAAAATGGAAAACAATACTACTACTAATAAAAACACAGCACTATTGGCAAATTCAAATGATACCATTATTCCTAACATGGAGTCTTGTTATTGTTACCTTTGACATTTTTGCCTTCAGTTGCATGCCTGTCAGTGATGGACTATTTTAACACCTTAATTTTTCTGCAACATTAGATTACAGGGAGAGAATTGCAATTATATGACCATTAAGATATTTGGCCTAGGACAGAACACATCAACACAAAACCTCATGAAATGTAAAGTAAATAAAACACTAAAGAATCTGAGTGATTTATTACAGCCCACCTCAAGTACTTACAATAGATATATGTTCACTTATTTATCCATTCACTTGACAAACATGTAATGAGCTCCAGCCAAGGACCAAGCATCTGTTAGTGGCTACACGTAAAGGTGAATAAGAAGGGATACTGAATAACACTGAGTAACAGTGATTAATTCTGAAAAGGAAAACTGTGTTCCTTTTCCTTTTCAATTGGGTTAAAACACCTCCCACTCTTGTCTGCAAAGTATTTCTCCCTGGACACCTGGGGAAACTGGGGCTTATGGACCTCAAACCAAGCCCCCCGCCTGTATCCAATGGGGCAGACCTTGCCCAATGGGAACCACACACTTCCAAAGGGTGTAGGGGCTGAATGCCCTGGAAAAGGCAACAGATGGGCTCAGACTCTTTTATGTTTTACCCAGTGTGGTGGCATCGTTTATGTTTGCTTGCTTGATGTCCCTCCCCCACTTCTGATGACAGCACCCTGATTTGCCTTTCAGCGCCCACTGTCAGTGCACACTTTTGCCACTGCCCCAGGTTAGCTAAGGCGGCACATTATATTTTGTTCTTCCTGGCTACAATGACTGTTTAGACTTGGGTAGGAGATACAGTCAGGAAAATCTGGACCCTCTTTGTGGCTGCCAGGAGAGGAGCTCTCTTTGACCCGGGGTTGCAAGCCTAGGGGTATAAGTCTGGAGCTCCTGGGGCAACCACGAGGGGAGAGTCTGACCGGGAGTGAAGCTAATACAGAGGGGAGCAGAGCAGAGACGCGGAGAGACCCATTAGGCCCTGGGCGTGGGAGCAGACTGCACGAGCCAGGAATTCCCGTCCTTTTGCTGAAGCTCATTTGAATAAGGCTTCTGTCATTTGTAACCAGAAGGTTCCTAAAATAGCTGATCTATCAGATGAACCTACTTTTGGTCAAGAAATGCTGTATGGAGGTAAGTATGATTTGAAAGAGGAAATTAAGAAGAGCCCAGAGCCCGGGGCCCCCAGGGAGAGTGTTCCAGGCAGCTACAGACAGACATGAGGGTCCTGAAGATGGTTTGGGAGCTGATAAAAAGCAGTGGAAACCAAGGGATGGGGTAACTTCCAGAAATTCTCTTTACTTCTGCCTATGGACGTGATACTTTACAACCATGCATACACTAGAACTTAATATTTTATAAGATTTTTAAAAATTACCTACAGCATAATTTAAAGTTTTCAAAGAACATTCACAACACCGTTTCAATTATCCTCACAACTGTCCCATCAGGTTCATTATTAGCCCAATAGAGATGACATAACCAAAGCCCAGAAAGAGAAAGACACGGATTGGGATCTAAGTTAACTGATTCCGAATTTAGTGTTCTTTCTACTACTCCGCCCCTGTTGAAGAAAACTTAGATCATATTTATTGTAATCTCACATTTGAAGCCTTTTTGTTGGGGGGGGGGGAATAAAAGAAAATATCAAGGATTCTGATATCGAAGTGTTTCTGAAACTTTTATCAAATGAAGATTGTAGGAACTAAAAGTTTGAGATGGCAAACTGAAAAGAAAAACCTCTCATTTTTATGATATCAAGATAGTCAGATAATAATTTTAAACTGTTATCAGATTTTTCTGACCATATGGCCTTTCTGCTCTTCAGGCCAGACTAGGCTGCCAGGGGCACAGGCAGGACAGGTGAGAAGGGGCTAGTGCGGAATGGGGACACAGGGACGGTTAGGGGACTTACAGGAAAGTTGACACCTCCCTCCCCCCCCACACACTCCCCACCCCCCGCCAGCCAATATTCCAGATAGGATTTTGCAGCAAGACAATCAGCTGGAGAGGTTGGCATCCTCAAAGACAAAGGACTTCCTAAATTAATTTTGTCTCATTTAATTACAAAGCTGACCAGGAGGATAAAATCATAGTTTTTCTATCAGGAAAGGCCTGGGAAGACAAGAGGAGGAAGTCACAGAAAAGCCACTCCCTTGC